TTTATTGTTTAGTTGGAATAATATTTAAAGAATCCGTTTTATACCAAACCAATTTTTGAATAAGAAATTTAGAATCAATTATCATTATAAGCATTTTCAATTATCATTATGTATTAAAATAATTGAATTATCCCCTTAAACAAATATATCCTATGAATTCTGTCTTGATATAAATAATATGAGAATGTTATATTTAGTTCTTTTACATCATGCTAATTTTGTCTAATTTTCTATATTAAATCTCCTTGTAATTCTCTAATATTCTGTAGATGCATTTCATATTAGTTAAATTTACTAATAGTAATTCTCTTCCTATAGTTATATTTTATTTTCTAGATTTATTATTGAATATTGTAGCTTTTAAAATTTACATATTACTTGGTTACTTTCTGTTTGTTTTTAGTTATAAATTTTTTCAATTACTGGAATATGTTTAATTCTTTATGATAGTGTTTCATTTATCTTTCATTGGTCTTGATATAATGATGTTCAATTAGATTCTAATTTAACTGTTTTTAATGATGCTTCTCATTGTATTAGGGGTTTAAATAAATAATCTAATATTAATTTTAAATATTTATTATTCCTATATTATTTTTACTAATTTATTTATTTTATTAAAAATATTTCATTAGCCATTCTAGTAATACTATGTTTAGAAGGTTTTCAAATTTTTATATTAGATAATATTCTTGAAATATAGTTTTGGATGTTTTAAAAAATTTTGGGTAACAAAAGTTAATTAAAGTTTTGGGTTGGATGTTTTAAAAAATTTTGGGTAACAAAAGTTAATTAAAGTTTTGGGTTGAATGATTTTGGTGCTTTCTTAAAAAATAAAGAAGAAAAAATAAGATAACAATCCCTCAAACACATAGTGAAAAAATAAGTGGTATCTCCGCTAAAAGTTGAGATTAACAATCATTCATAGTGAATAATTCTGGTGGACCCATCTACTGTTCAAATACAAACATTATGTTTCATTTTAATACAAGAATACGACAGATTCTTCTGATTACATGTATTGGCTAAATTCATCATCATCTTCATCTCAATATTCTATCTTGTAGTTCCGTGCATGGGATATATTATTGTTTGCACTGTCTTCTTGAGCATACAAGAAAAGTCCCACCAACTCTGTTTTCTTGTTTTTGAATGAACTCTGTGTTACTTGAGTTGTTTGACTAAGTAAAAAATATTTATTTTGTTGGAAGACCAAGACAAGAATCATCCACTTTAATAAGCGGCGGATCCAGAATAAAGAAGAGCGCTCAGCCACATTTGAAAAGAGGTCAAGAAGAATAGCTCAATGCTTAAATTGTAAAATCATCCATCCAGATGCATATGCTTAAATGTGTATTTGGTCAATCAATTTTTTCCCCATAAGTTCAAAGTAGCGGTTAACATGACGATGACAACAATCATCTAACAATTGATAGCTTAAGTTTTAAGAAACAACATCCAATATTTAGACTTTGTCACTTCCTTGGAGAGTTGAGTTTCTTGTATGTACGTTCTTGTTTTACCAATGATAGTATGGTACTAAAAGCTATTGTCTACAAAATACCAAAAAATTCTGCAATTAATTATAAAAGGCGATTCATTTCTAAAGTCTGTTCACTCGATTATAACTCCCTGTACAATTTGGACGAGGTAGAACTAACAGTAAACATCAAGACTTAAACCCGAACATCAATCATAGCTCGATTATATTTATAACTCTTGATCCAATTAGGACAATTCTGTACTAATCAGTAAACATCATATGTTGTACTATCATAAAGAAACGACAATAAGATTTGAACCCGAACATATTCCCGATGGTACTAACTTTCCTCTTTTCTTCACTAAATGAAAGTCAACTAACACATATGCTACGTTTGACTTGCAAAACGAAACGTAAAATAAAGAAATGAATGCTTCGCTTGGTGGCATCTGGGTACCGATAATTAGGGATGGCAATGGGGCGGGTTTGGGGCGGGTTTGCCTAAACCATCCCCATCCCCATCTTCAAATACCCAAACCCATACCCGCCCCATACCCATGCGGGGAAATGTTTTGCAAACCCATCCCCATACCCGTGGGTTTTGGGTACCCATGGGTAATACCCATCCCCGTACATCCAACATTATTATACCTAAAACTTACAAGAAAAGTTTTAATTATAACCATAAACAAACCTATTATATCACGAAGTCAACAAAACACGATCATTTTCTAAATACGATTCAAAGAATATGATCCTAAAACATCCATTAATACATAATATAGACTATAATATTTTTTAAATTATTATGCTCTAACTCTTGATACATTTACTAAGTAATAATTAACTAACATAATTTTGTTGACAAGGGGGAAAGTGAAAGAGTGGAAGGAGAATTGAGGGAAATGAATTAGGTTTTGATTAAGGTGGTTACTCAATTGCATTTCCACTATTTATTTTCTCGAGTTATCATCATCATCATTGATAGATTACAATTTAATCCACGTATTTTTTGATATGTGAAGAAATTGTCTTGGTGGGGCGGGTATGGGTATGGATATGGGGCGGGGGAGGCTAAAACCATACCCGCCCCATACCCATCAAACCTTTTGCGGGTTTTATCCATACCCGCCCCATACCCGGTCAAAGCGGGGATTCCCCGCGTTGACTGGGTATGGGGCGGTAGGGTACCCGCGGTCATGGGTTTGATTGCCATCCCTACCGATAACGGCCCCCACCCACCGTTGGTTCAGTGAGGTATGTGCTTCCGTCACTCGACTTCGCCATTTCCCTCCCACTTCTCACTGTTTGGTACCCGTTGTTTACCATTATAACAAACCAGTCCACTACAATTTTATAACTTCTCACTGCTTGTGGTGTCGCTTGGTGCGGAATGTAAAAGCTCGTCAACTTTGGGTGCTTGTGTGGTTACAATTTTCTCGACGTGCCTGATAGTGAACTTCGCAAGTTCCCGTTGAAAAGTACGAACTTCACGTCGAGAAAAGAAAAAAGGAAACAAGTGTGAACACACAATCTAACGGATATTAAATTTCCTCAAATGCCCTTTCTTGCTCCGGCAGAGACTTCCGTTCCGGGAATAGAATATAAGGGATGTATTTGTCATTTCTGATAATTTAATAGTACCCGAAGTCAGCTGAATGTTCCGGGAAGTTGGCAGGAAACTTCCATCCATCTCCCACATGGATAATGGAAGGGATCGAGGTGCGTTCTTAGTCAAAAAAGTCAAGCTTACGAATAGTAGAGTTCCATTTTTGCCCTCAATTTTGGTGGAAAATTGCATATCCTCCTAAACCATAATAAATAGTTATACTTTATCGATATTTTACAAACATAAATCAAAATCTATTAGTATACTCCAAATTACCACTTAATTGTGCAAGACCAACTACTAGTATGATATTTTTGTACTCAAAGTTTTTTTTTACTTCGCCAATGCATTGGATATCATATCAGATAATATAATAATCAGAAAATAATAAAATTTAGCAATATATTTACCGAATAATTCTTTATATCCTTATCCTTTTGTGACATTAATTTTACCCTTATTTTTTTCTTCATCTTTTTACCTTCTCATATCAAGAGTACAACCCGATGATTTATAGTTGTTAACTCCAAATCATTATATTTATAGCTTTTTTTATTAATTACGACACTCACTATAAATAATATAAATAAAAAACTCAACTTTGATAAATAATTGTTTCTTTTCTATGGATAGAGTGATTGGATCTAAAAGAAAAAAAAATCTAAACATCATTTCCTCGTCTTATTAGTTAGTAACATCATATAAACTCGTAGCATTACACTAGGGGTCGTTTGGATGTGTAAATGTTATGTAGTAATTGAATAATGCCGTAATTGGGTTAAAACCCCACGTTTGAAAAAGTAAAAATGATATGAAAATTGGATTCAATTACCACATTCATAATAATTGAGAATACCACCCTCTCTAGTAATTTAACATTACCACGTTTCTTCCTTTTTTTCAAATTTGTCCCTTTGTCCTTCCTCCATTTCTTCTTTCCCGATTTTTACAAGCTATATTTTACAAAAACAACTCTTTGCTTTTAGGTTGTTATGTCGAACTTTTATTCCGGTTGTAGAGTAGTTAGAGCTTTTATTTTGTTTAACTTATATACACACTAATTAGTAATTGGTAGTTAGCAACATTATTAATTAGTAAAGGCAATTAATAGTTAGTTGCAAACAGCTAGTACTTAAGTTATCAACAATTAGTAGTAAGTAGAACACAACAACAACCTTTAGGAAGGGTATGTAATATGTATATAAACAAAAGAGGGCATTTTTGTATTTTCACCAAATTCCACACCATCAATTTCCACAAAAATAAATCGCATCCAAACGTGGAATTTTGTTCAATTTTCATAAGTCAATTCCTGGAATTAGTAAAACATGGATATTCGTCTGGATTTTCATGTTTTCAAATTTCCACACCCAAACGACTCATAGAACTCAATCAGTTTATCAATCAATTTCAAATATAGAACTTTCACATTTCCACCCAAAATTTTATTTATTTAAATGAGAACTGCACATCTCATGAAACAAAACATTGTGGATCATAACTATAAATATTTGTAATATAATATCAAATTGAACAATTATACAACTAAAGAGTATGTAATTTTTTTTTAACATTCTCTCAACGATTTACCTATCATAATCCTGCAATACGTACAATATTTACGTCTCTCTAATCATATTCAGTATGAGATACAATGCTTCCCAAATTAGCACTTGCACACAACAAGTTAAACCTTTATGTTTCCTATTTCGCAAAATTCTTTAATTTTGTCAGCAGCACTCTAATTAGTAATTACTAATTAGGCGATAAGCCAATAACGTAATATATACAGTCACAGGTTATTTCGTAAATAAACTCAAAATCCAAGCCCACTATCCCAACTTCCAACTCTCTCGCCGCCGCCGCCGCGAATAAAACTCGACCCTCGCCCTAAATTGTCGGCGATTTCTTTCTCTCTTTCTAGCACAAATCCTGAGCCATTTTGTCTTCCTCCTCCTCCTTCCTCCGGGGAAGTCGGGGAAAAAATCGCCCAGGATCCCTTCTCCGTTCCTCCCAATCCCAAAAACCCTAAAAAAAATTCTTCGATTGGATTCCGATTAGTCGATTCTTCGTCTACAATCCACTCCCAATTTTGACTCCCATCTCCGATTCAACTCCACCGTCTCCGATTCACTGATTCGGTCGTCGGAAATGTCCTATACTGCCTAGTAAGCTTCCTCGAGCTCACCCCGTTAGTCAACGAGCGCGCAATTCATCACTTGTTCGTCTTCCTACTCCAATTCGCAGTCATGGCTATCCGGGTTACTTTCTCCTTCTCGGGCTATGTCGCCCAAAACATCGCCTCCTCCGCCGGTGCTCGCGCTGGGAGCTGCCGGACTTCTCTCACGGAGTGCTGGGTCCGGTCTCGGATCTTCGCTACCCCGTCAAACCAGGGCGTCGATTCCGACCGCCAGAAGTCCCGCCGCAGTTCCCAGCCGAGTCACCGGTCCTACAGCTCGTTGGTCGCCGAGGCGCTGGGGGATAGCGCCTACTGTCCGATCGCCGCTGGGTTGATCTCGCTGGTGAAGTCAACGGCTGGCCTTTCTCCTTCTACCTCGTCGTCGTCGCTGTTTAATATCTCTCCGGTGAAACCCGCCTCGATTCTCCCCTTTTTGCAAGGATCGCGTTGGCTTCCCTGCAACGAGCCTCCTATTTCCCCCAAGAGCCGTGAGGTGGATAAAGGAGGAACGGTGCAGTGTGTGGGGAATAATACTACCACGAAGACTAGCGTGACAGTGGAGATTACCGGTAAGGATTTTGATAAGGTTGGTAGCTGGTTGTCGCGGTTGTCGGAGGATGCCAAGGCGGCGTTTACTGCCGCCACCGTCAGTTTGCTGTTCCGGTCGACTCTTGCTGAGCCTAGATCGATCCCGTCCACTTCTATGTATCCCACTCTGGATGTGGGCGACCGTGTTTTAGCAGAGAAGGTAATTGAAAACATACCCTCTTGATCATTTTGGCAGCTGAATGTACCTATCTATGTGTGGAATAGAATGTAGATAGAGTGGTTTTTTGTTAACTCTGCCGATATGTTTTGTTTGTTCAGGTTTCATATTTGTTCAGGAAGCCTGAAGTTTCAGATATAGTAATATTCAAGGCACCTCCAATCTTGCAGGTATCTTGAAACTTTTTAGGCTTATTTGATTTTGAGATTTCGTTGGTGTTGAGTTCAGGCTGTTGATTGGGTTGTTGGTTCTCCCTGTATGTGTCGTTGCAGGAAATTGGTTATAGTTCAGGCGATGTTTTCATCAAGAGAATTGTGGCCAAGGCTGGTGACATCGTTGAAGTAAGCCTCTCTGTTGCACTTGATTGGCCTTTCTTATTGAAATGAGAAAAAGAGGTCTTTGGTTCGTTGCTGATCTACATATATTTTTATTCTGTGTTTCTTTCACACGTTAGATAGCGATAACTTAGCCACCTTTTGACATGTATGGTAATATTACTTGCAGGTTCGTGAGGGGAAATTGTATGTCAATGGTGTTGCAAAAGATGAAGAGTTTGTCATGGAGCCACTTGATTATGAAATGGAACCCATGGTAATGCATCTGGCCCTGCTTCTTCACATGGTGTTAACATGCTATTCGTGATTCATGTTCACTAACAAATGTGTGATGCTTTGCTTGTGGTTTCCAGCTTGTGCCAGAAGGTTATGTCTTTGTGTTGGGGGACAATCGGAACAACAGCTTTGATTCCCACAACTGGTAATTGAGAATTTACCGGCTTTGAATTTGAATTCTCTTTCTGTTGGGTTGAATCTTATTTCATCGTGTTGACAGTAGAGTTGTTTTGAAATTAATCTGTATGATTACTTCTGGAATTCTGAAGAAGACTGTTTCTTTCTTAATCCTCAGGGGTCCACTGCCTGTCCAGAACATTGTGGGTAGATCCGTGTTTCGATACTGGCCTCCATCCAAAGTCTCTAACATGATATATGGTCCCCAAGCAGGGAAGAGTACTGAACAGCAATGCCTTGTTGGCACTGCTTCTGCTGCAAATTCTTGAAGCAGCTGTCTCTCTACGCGTCTAGAAAAGTGGATCTCTCGAATAACTTGGAAAAGATCTTCCCATCTAATCGGGAAGCTGCAAATGATGTGTCAAACAAACTCATTTGGCTCAAAATCGGGCATTACTATCCCACCCGCTTGCCCTCAGTGTGTTGCTTATGTTTATGGGTGTTCCTTTTTTTTCAGTCTGTATCCATGCCCTAGTCAGGTTGATTTTTGGCCGACGGTGCATATGTCTGATAGTTTCCAAAATGGTACAACAACAAACGAGTTGTTGGGAACAATGTAAGGGCAAGCTGTATCTATGATCATTCATTTGATGTTTATCACCCTGTGCTGGTGTTGTGGAAAGAGCAAGCAGTGACTACAGCCTACAAGTGCCGAGGAGGAGACTGGTCCAGACCCTCGTTGCGAACCCTAAACTCTGTTTAGGTGTGGCAGGATCTCGAAGGAAGGGGTTTCGAAGACGGTGGGAAGAGTTTGTGAGGAAGAAGGAAGAGGAGAAAGACGAGGATGAGTTTGTGAAATGGATTGTGCTGCTGCATCATCGTTCATTCCTCTTGTTAATTTGGTGGGATTTGCAGGGTGTTGTAATTGCAGGCTTGCTTCTCAGGGAACCAAAGCAAATGAATGAATCAATGCTTTCTTTTCTCCTTATCAGTTTATTTCCTTCTATATTCTTCAGATGTTTTGATTTTGTGGGTTTAGGATGTGGTTCCATGAGTTCGGATGAATGAGCGAGATTAACGCTAGCTAACACTTTTAGATCAACCTTCTTTCACATTTCAACTTGTAAGATCAACGTGGTTATATTTCAGAATCCAACATCATCAATAGATATTCATTCCTTGACCATGATAATGGAATTGCTACCGTCAAATCTCTTTCGTTATTGTCACTGCTGGTGGAAACAACGAACCAACAGTGGTAGTAAACGCTAGCTAACGCCATTGGATTGCCTAGTTCTTTCACATTTCAATTCTTCTATTAAAAGAACAAGCAAAACTGTAACTGTTTGATAGGGTCAAATCCAACTACTGTTACTTGTTTTCCTTTTTCTGCCACGTTCAAGCGGCTCCCATCGCTTCCATTCGCTTCGATGGAGATGCCTGCGTTGCTTTTCTATCATTTTGCCGTCGTTCCATTACCTTTCCTTCACTTTCCAGTTCTCGATCTTTGGACCTCCTGCTTTGTTTTTTCGAGAAAGGAGATTTTGTGCCTTTCGGAGATGTTTCTGTTTCCCTATCCTACCATTGCCTGCTGTTACACCGATGCTCCTCAGTTCATTCCTTTGTTTGCCTTCTCTCTCTTCTTCTTCTCTCTGCTCCGCTATGCCTGGTCATAAGCTTCTGCTCAATCTAACAGATAGGGATGGCCTGCAGATGCTTCTATAGCTACGTTTGGTACATGCTTGGGGATCGTACGACATCCAGGACCCCTCCCTCATCTTCAACTACTGCACTCTTTGGACCGACGAAGAGGTAGGCGTTCGTCAAAATGGTTTGGGTGCCGGTTTCCGCTTCCGTTTCCGTTTCTCAACAACGATGCTTTGCCGTTACTTCTTTTCCCTGCAGGGGACTTTGATCTAAGGAGTGGCTCCGTCGAACCTCACCCGGCACTTCGCACCGATTCTCCAGTTGGGGCTGTGTATTTGGTGAGCAATTTCCATGTCAAGCTGGCGGGTCCAGTCTAACACCCTTGCTCCCACAAACTCAATATCGTCCTCTCTCGTGATACGATGTTCCAAGATGTTACCGCTGCGTCGTCCTCTTTCTGGAGTGATTCTTACGAATTTGTACCTTGTAATTCTCTGCACTCTCGCACCCGATCGTCGCCTTACCTTACAGGTTTGTGTTCTCACTTTGCTTTGCTTTCCTAGCTGTGGCCATTCTTCCCTTTAGTTTCGACCTACTTGCTGCTGATTTCTTCTTCTATAGATGTCGTTGGCGCGGTTCAGTGGCGTTACTGGTATTTCCCACTCCGTCACGTCGTTTGGTCACAATCAGGGCCGTCCTATGATAATCGGATGCCCTGTTCGACAATTTAAATGTGGCCCCAAAACGTTTTCTCATAAATTTATTAAAAATAAAAATTATTAAATAATAATAAAAATTACAAAACTTCAGAAAATGATTGGAAAATAATAATATTATCTATTTTCAAATATTCAAATATTATCTACTCTTAGAAATTTACTTTTTCAAATTTTCGGGTTGACATAATTAAAAATAATAACCATAGATTGATGATTCCAAATTTCCAATTAATATAAGTTCCCTTCAAAAGTAAAAGAAAAAATGTTAGAACTTAAAAGAAGTTGATTAGGAGCCTGAATAGTAGGGAAGAACATTATTTAAGAGTTAATTAGAATTGGGTGTGTACAATTCATATTTAGGCGTTGGATATTTGTGGGAAGTTGAGAATTTTGGGAAAAGAGAAGAAGATTAAATACCTAATTGTTAGTTTTGATTAATCAAACAAGGCGCAACTTAGTGGTTGCGTCTTATTTTGATGAATAGGATAGGTCCATGGTTCGATTCTCCATACTGTGCCTTTGTACTTTGGGTTTTTGTGTGTGTGGGCCTCGCCAGCCCAAGGGTTCGGGTGTGGGCCTCGCCATTCCAACGGAGCATCCGGACTAAGGGTTTATGTGGGGGTCTTGCGAGCCCAAGGTAGCATCCATACTCTATGGATTCTGTGGGCCTCCAGACTTAATTGATTATGAGACCCCAATAAAATTGAGGCTCTGTGCTATGGGTCTGACCATCACGGGCCTGGTCACAATGTTCGTCGGGAATTGGTTATACAGAACGAGAAGTTTTCCGTTTCCTCTACTTTATGCACCTTCTTTTCTTTCCTTTATTTCCTTGCACGGTTGCTGAGCTCCTCCTGTTTGTCTTTGCTTGACCTTTAGCCATATGGTCCTTGATGTGACTCTATGGAATGAGATTGCTCGAGCCCTCGATGGTGAGGAGCTTGCGGTTCTCGGGCGTTCGGGTCCTGTGATTTTGGGTATTTGCAGTCTTCGTGTTACTGGTGCCAACCAAAGGTTTACTCTGCTTATTATCCTTTCTCTAATCCATTCCATTCCTTAGTTGTGCTAATGTTTACCACCTCCTTTCTGTCTCTGGTTTGCACAGGGGGGTTCGCTCTGGTCAGGTAGTCCTGGTACTCGATGCGTTTTGGACCCCGTTGCTGAAATGGGTGAACTCTTTCGTTCTGCGTATGTCCTCTTAATGCCTGCTTTCCTGATTTGCTGGTTTAGTATCTAAAATTGCTTCTCTTTTGCATCAGTTTCTTTGCCGAGACAAACACAGTCACATACTATCCTCCGCGATTCTCGACTCCTGAAGAAGCAGCGGCATTTGAAGTTGATTGTACCAAAACTGTCATGAAACTTTTTGATCTTTGTAGCCCCACACTGGCTAATGTACATTCTGTTCCCCATCCTTTTCCTCATGCTTGCTGCTTTGCTATTTGCCCTTATTGGGTTTGATTGGAACAACTATCCTCTAAGACTGGATATTGCTCACATTTGTGCTCTGTTTCTTGCCAGTCTGGCCGCATTTGTTCGATATTATTGTCTGTTTCCACTTTATGCTTCCCCTACTGTGCCAGTTCATTTGCCTGCGTACCCTTCAAAGACCCTTTTTGTCAAATTGTGTGGCGGATGGCCCAGTTATGTTTATTCCTTCTGACTGCTGTTTTTCCTCGTCCTTTATTAGTTTCCCTTTGCTTCTTACCAGACCACACGCTACCATTGTTTGGCTAAGGTGGTGTCAATTGATTCTACGTGCCAATGGTATTACTTGGGGTGTGCCTTGTGTTCCAAGGCGCACATGATTATGACCCTCCATATTACTGGTGTGACGACCATCGGCGTATCTCACCTCAACAGACCCAAAATTGGTTTCTACCACTTCTTAGACTTAATATCTTTTTACATTTTTCAAGCCTCACCTTTCAGGTGCTTATATTTGTTTCTTGCAGCTATAAAGTCCGCATCGATGTCGCAGATGTTACTAGCTCGACATGTTTTGTTTTGTTGGGCAGAACTGCGGGTCTTCTTGTGGGAACTACAGCTCCCGAAATTTCCGCGCGGTTTCCATACCAACATGGTCATTTGCCTCCAGAACTCATGGCACTTGGTGCCCGTGAACTCAAGTTTGATGTCCAACTTCCTAAGCCTGGCTATTTGGCTCGAGGTCAACCAGAATTTACCGTCCTCTCTGTGGCGGGAGACAATCATCCTTCCCTTCAATCTCCACGGCCTACACGACGTGCAAGGACCACCTTATCACTTTCACCTCCATCTGGCCGATATGTTCGTGTTTGCCCATCTTATTTCCAACTGGGTATGCTATTTGCTTACCTTTTTGTTTTTATATGTAAGGGCTGTCGTTCCTATCCTCCCCTGCCAATTCGTCTTATGCAAGGCTTGTTTCTTCATCTATACTTTCTGGAGTGGTTGCCTCACCTGTGACCGCTTCTGCAAGGTTATTTTACCTCCTTTTTTTACTTCACATCTTTTACTCTTTATTTTGTTTGCTCGCAATGTGTCTATTTGCCTGCCTGGTTTCCAGTGGTTCTGCGGCTGCCTTTTCTTCGCCAGTGACTGAATCCTATATGAGGTTGTTTCTTGCATTCATTTCTCCTCTCTCTTGCAAATTTCCTCTTGATTGTTATTGGTTGTCAGTGTGAACCGCTACACTACTGTTTACCTTCCCCGCACCCATACTGGGTTTGTTTTAGCAGTTTAACAACTTCTTCTGGTTAGGTGCGCCTTTAATGTCTCGATCATTGCCTTATGTGTTTGCTTTCTTCTGCATTTACAGAAACACCTCTCCATTGCCTTCTTCATCAGTTCAGAATGTTACAAGCCTTCCTATGCGAGGTTCTCAAAATTGCTTACCTTGCCTTGCTTTCACTGCCTTCAATTTGTAGTGCTTTCTGTTTGCCTCATCGTTCCTTGGGTTCTTTTCCCCAATCCTTGCCTTTTCGAGTTTTGCCTTCTTTCCTGCTTAGCTTATCGGCCTGCAGCTTTGATGACTGGATTCTGCAGGGTTGTTGTAACACCTCTTTTGTGTTATCTTGCTTGCCCTCACGTTCAGCTTTGCATTCCATTTTGTTAAGCCACGCATTGCTGTTCAGCCACAACCGACTTTGCAGCCTTCTGTAGCTCGGTTGGTACTATGGTTCTTTTTCATTTCCCTCTCTACTTTCCCCATCTTTCAGCCCTAATTGTTTTTCAGTAGGCCACTTGATGATGCCCAAGCCGCTGTCTCTTCTCCAAAAAAAAAGTGGCCGGTCCCGAAAGGAAACTCCAAAGAAAGATGCGTCTAAGCCGAGGTTTGCCTAATTTTTGCCTGCCTATGTGCTCGCTTGGCCAAGTTCTTACTTTCGATCCTTTTGTAGGAAAAAAACTTGCTGGGAAGTCTGTTGCTAAAGATACGATCGCGCCATCTATGATTGGGTTGTGTTCTTTTCCTGAATTCTGAGTCTAGCTTAGTGATTTCGAGGTGGCTTCCTAATTGGTCCTTGTGCGTTTCTTTTTGTGTTTACCTTTTAGTGATGCTGCTGCTGCAGATGACCAATATGATCCATCGAATACTACATTTCCACTGTACCCACCTTTCCTCACAAACTTTTTTTGCCCCTCTTTTTTTCCATTGTTGTTTACTTTTGCACTTGCCTGAATGCTAATTGCTAAATTGGTTTCAGGCAACTGCCTCTTGATTCTTCCGAAGCACCCTTTCGCACTTCCCACAAAACAACA